AAGAGGCCAAGAGCAATTTCGAGACCAACTTCTACAAGCTGATGAACAACTCAGTGTTCGGCAAAACTATGGAAAACTTGAGGAGCCGTGTTGATGTGAAAATCGTCCGGAGCTGGGAGACCGACAAAATCTGCCGCCTGGTGGCCAGCCCCTCGTATGCAAGGCACGAGATATTCGAAAATGACATGGGAGGCATCCACATGTATAAAACACAACTGTACCTGGACAAGCCGATCTTAGAAAACAGCAAGATCCTGATGTATGACTTCTTTTACAGTCTGATAAAAGCCCGATATGGGGAAAAATGTGAGACAAAAAGCCAATCGTAATAACAAAAGACGACGGAAGAAGCATACAGGGACATGAGCAATACAAAGAGGCGTTGTTTTAGAGAAAGCAGTTTTGGCACGGGATGAACATCTTCAGAAGCGAGGGCCACGAGATCTACGGCATGCGTATGGACAAGGTCTCGTTGTCGCTGTTCGACACGAAGTGGTTGATAGAAGATGATGGCGTGCACATGCTGGCATACGGGCACAAAAAGATCAGGCACGGACTTGTTCGGGAGGAAGCTGAGTATTCGGAGGCACAACCAATAGCTCTTTGTGAACAAACCGCGCTTAGGCCTGTCAGACAAATAGACAACAGGTTCGTTTGGTTTAGTTACGGCTCTTTCAAAATGGTATACTTTCGACCAAACTGGGTCTGTAGCTCTTTTAGTCCCACCTTCAAGTTTGCTGGGCTGATACAAATATCGTACATTAATAAGTGGGGGGAGTTTTTTTTCTTTCAAACCAACAGGTTTTGAATACTTTGTAGGTTTTGAGGTGACAGATTTCTCTTTGATAGCTACAGCTGGTTTTTTTCCCATAAGACTAGTGACCTCATTGTTAAGAGTGCCAACAACATCGGGAGCCTTTTGACCCAGGAAGTCGACCGCTGACCTGAAGGCAGCAGCATTTCTACGGCATACTGATGCCCAAACAAGCGCTCGGCGAGCGTGGGGTTGAAATGCTCCACGATAGCCTGGTCTCTGTGAATTTCAGGGCAGCCGCAATGAATAGTGGTTTTGTGGTTTTCCATTTCTTTGGTCATGCTTCCCATGAACTCACACCCAGGGTTGACCTGCAGCAGCCGAGGCCACGTCAAAGGGCTGCACTTGTAAATCAACTGAAAAGCTTCCGCAACTTCCGCAGAGTCTTTGGAGGTCAGAGGCTCAGCCTCTTTGTAACGGCTGGCGACGTCGACAACAGTCAGTGCGTATTTGTAAACTTTGCAGCCCCGAGGGAGCTTGTCATGAGGCAGAAAAAGAAGGTCTGCCTGGTGGACCGTGTTAGGCAACGATACATTGAATTTGGGTCGTGGAATATATCGCGGGGCTTGTTTGATGAGCCACTGCTTGGCGGTTTCTTCAGGGACTTTCGCAGCGTCCGCTAATTTTTTTATGGCAGCGATTGCCTCTCCAGTAGCCCTGGTGGCTGTAGTAGAATTTAGCCAGCTTAGCGTGTATTTATATCTTACGCCTTCATGTTCAAAGAAAACGGAAAGCTGCGTAGCCAAGAGCGAGTGTGCTGCCGCCCACAAAAAGAAGCTTGCCTTGTTTTTGCTCCTCACTGGGCTGATAAAAGTCAGCGAAGCAAAGCTCTTTGATTGTGATCTGTTTGTCTGGGTGGGCCTGGTTATAGAGTTTGAACGCGTAATCGGTGTTCGTGAAGTTTTGCTTTGCCTGTTCTTTGATTTCTCTGTTGGTTTCGATCCAATCAAGAAGCATGGTGTGGTTGCGCGTGTATTTAGCCATATGGACGTATGGCTCATCATTTCTATTTCTTTTATTTTTTCCAAAAAGCGGAGCTCTACTTTCAAAAAATATATCATGTGAAAAAGTAATTTTGAATCAAAAGTTAATAAAAACTATGTTGAAAGAACATATAAGACAGCGAAATAAATGTAGTTTCTGTCTTCGTAAGGAATCGCATACCAAAAATATGAAGCGGTATTAATAAGGCTTGAAATAAACTTTAACCCAAAATATGAAAAAGCAACAGCTAAGATGGCGACATTCGTATATATTTTTTAAATTGTAGTATTGCAGTGGTGGTGGGGGGGTTCGTACAGAGGAGGTGGATGGCATTTGTCCGGTAGTGGAAAGTGTTCAGTACCAAGATCCTCAAAATCAGAGTCATCGTAACCAGAATCCTCAATAACATCCAACCAAACAAATTTTATGGCATCAGCGGTAAAATAAGATATCGTCATTGAAAAATATAATAACGCAACCGTTGAGAGGGCTTTGAGGAAAAAATAAGAACGTGCCATTGGTATTATGACAATATTAATTTTCTTTTCGCTAAACCGAAGTTGGAAGAATTTTTTTTTTGGACTTCAAGGTAGTTTTTGGGTGCGATGCTACCTGCCAGGACAGCCGTGAATTTTGCATAGTTCTTGATGTTGCTGCTGGGGTCAGAGGTAAAGTTCTCTTTCACCACTTTTTTTGCAATCCAGCCGATGCCGGCAGTTAAGCTGGTGAGAACGGCCACATCCATGACTGTATTAACGAGCTTGTTGTCTGACATTGTATAATGTGCGTCTTTTTATTTTTAAATATCAATCCATACGCTAGAGCTCTCTTCTTTGCACCGGTCGAGGCAGCTGCGTATCAACAGGGGCTTGCATCTTGACGGCTGGTTGAGGCGTAGCAGGTTGTCAATTGAAAAACTTTTTTATATCTTCGCGTTTGTAATAGAGGCCAATGACGGAAACCACGATGCTGATTATACTGAGCCACTGAATCATGCTGATAACGTTTTTTGTGTCTTCCTTTGGTGCCTCATCAACAGGCACCTCATGAACGCTTGGCTGCTTTTTGCTAGGAGGAACGAGACCTGCGGCTTCAGTGGCTTCAGCGGCTCTTTTCTGAGCTTCGCACACCTTTTTTGTTCTTGCAGCAACGGCTTTCCCTGCAGCCACCCGGTTCGGGTTTTTCGCAGGCCGTGTGGTTGGTATTTTTGAAGTAACGAATCGCTGGGCAATGCTTACTAATTATTCAGCAGTTTGCTCAACAACTGCTGGGCTTTGCTCAGGTGGACTGAAATCGATATGTTTCGTTGTGATCAGCGCCGCGCACATCGAAAAGCAACCGCCCACATCGCAAAGCAAGACTGCCCGCCAGGGCTGACAGCTCTTTAGTAATTATATAATCATTTTCGGCTCATTTTGCAAAGCCTTGGCATCTTTGACCCGCACCACCATGCCGAACGCTTTCGTGGCCAACGTCAGGAAGCTTTCGATCAAAGTTTCAGTGGCGCCAACGTATGTCTCATACCTTTTGTAGTGCTTTTCAACTTCTTTGTCATTGAAGCGCTTTACCTGCTCGCGTGTCAGGTGCATGCTGATAGCTTCTTTTACTTTGCCTGTAGAAACCAGAATTGCCAGCTGTTCACGTATGGCAGGGATGTTTGGCTGAGCAAGCGTGTTGCCGCCAGGAGAGCCTGAGGGCTCGGTTTTGAGCATCTGAGCGACTTCTTCCATAACTTTAATATTGTCATCTGCAATGGCAGCCATTTAGTTGACGTTGTTCCTTTTTTATACGCAAATTTAATCTCATACGGGTGGCAAAGAGAGAAAACAAGGTGGGAAAACTTTCTCTCTTTCAGCCTCGCAATCAGCTGCTTGAGGTAACCTTGCGAAAGCTCTCCCACGTATTCTTCAAAAATCGCCTTCGTGGTCTTGGCCGAAGGGGTGTACAACAGCACGATGGCCGCCACATTTACACGGAAAGGCTTCACGATGCTGGAGAGCTGCTGGGTCAACACCCACATGCTGATGTTCATGTGCCGGGCAGAAAAGCTGAGTTTAACGAGCTTGCCGGTGCGCCCTTTCACATCTTTGGAGGCTGCGCAGTCATTGAGGACAATCAGCATATTGGCGCCTTCAAAAACGAAACCCGCCATTTTCAGCCAAAGTTCCACTTTGTGCTGCTTGCAGAT